CTACCCCTGCCTCCCAGATTATGAGCCACTATGCCTGAACTTGTTTTTCCTCTTTGTTCTGTTTCGTATTTTAGATAACTTCGTGTGTCTCACCTCTCAAACCAACCTTTGACATGGGCTGGTACTTGGGAACACTTTCCTATTGCAGAGGTGCTTTCCCAATAGGTTGTAACTGTAGGATATACACCTTGGAAACAGAAGCAGGTACAGAAGTAGGTACCTTTATGTCTTGGGCTCACCAGACTTCACACAGTCATCTTGACACTCATGAGGAATGCATTACCAAAGCTGCTTGAGAATTACGGGTTCATTACTCCTACTGTCACTGAATAGACACAGAAGATACCCAAAGAGCAACTTCAGACACATCACAATGAAGAAGCTCACACTATAAAGCTTCTTAATAAATGGGTCTGCCTAAGCCACACTGTGGGAAACACGTGGAGAAGCACAAAACAGAGCAGATCCAAGCCTCTTAAAGAAATGGAGCAATAGAAAAAGTAATGTTTTGATTCAGAGACATCTCAGAAGCACAGAGAACCGAAATCTAATGTTACTTCACAAAGAGCTAGGATTAGCTGTCATTCATTAAAATATTAAGGCTGGATAAAAGGGAGTCATGCTGCTAAAAGGTGACACAGTTGGAAGGAGGGCCACCAAAGAGAGGAAACAAGTTATTGGCCTGGGAAAAAGGAACGAATAATGTGTCTCTGGCAGTTAGAATGGCCCTGAAGGAAATAATGTACATCAGAAAACCCAGGACTGAAGCAAACAACAACAACATGAAATTGCAGTGAGAAATGCCAAAGCTCCTACGCCAGCCAGCCTCCAACAGCATGGTCCTAGACTGGAAAGTAGACTTAGGGCTGTTGGAGGCCAGGAAACTGAGTGCCAGGGCTCTGGGCACGTGGGGTCCTCTAAGATCCTACAAGAGCGGGCTTTGTCCAGCAGGGCTAAGTCAGAAGGAAATTGAGACTGCAAGCCTCAACCAGAAGGCAAGACAGCCAGCAACGCAAAGGAGACAACACAGACCTAAAAGAAGCAGAGGCATCTGCAGGCTTTCAGACCTGGCTTTCAAGAAGTATGAAGAGCCAGAGATGGAGAGGATGGTGGGAGAGGCAGGGGTTCAGCCACAGGGTCAGCAGCTAAATGTTTTATGTGGCTTGCTGTCAGCCAGGTAGTCCTGGTGTTGGATGGGACAAGTGCTTGGTCAGGACTATCCCTTTAAACCTTACCTAGGCCAAAGACCATGTGTAAAAAGCAGCATGGTGACCACTGGGTCACTCTTCTCTGTGGCATCTGAGATGCAAGGCCTTCTAGGTAAGGTTTCAGTATAAAGCAAGTGTTTGTGTGTGTGTGTGTGTGTGCGCGCGCGCGCGCTTTGGGTGAACTACAAGAATGTCCTCATGCTGACACTTCAGTGACCTTCAGACTCTGTGGCACCTGCAGCAGCCTCAACTTCAAGCAAAGCCGGCTGAAGCCTTGCTCCAGCTCATTCCCTGCACTACAGCTCCTGGCTTGGAGGTTGGACAGACAAGCATCAGTTTGAGTTGATCAGGGAAAGAACATATGATGGTCAGGACAAGGTCTAAATGCAAGAGCGCTTTAAAGCAAACACATGCATCTCTAACAAACTGCTCAGGAGATTCAAGGGGATGGAATCCTGACCTCATATGTAGTAGGAGCTGAATGCTTTCAATCTCCCACAGGGAGGGCAGCAAGTAGTGTTAAGAACTCTCTCGGAGGGGGGGGGGGCCTGGAGAGCTGGTTCAATGGTCTAGAGCCCAGGTAGAGTATTACTTCACATCAAAGTCCAAGTCCCACTGTACCGCTTCCCTGTGCTCCCTGGTACGTAGTACTACAGCACCACACGTTCACAGGAAGAACCATCAGCCACTGCTGATTGTGTAAAAGCACACTGTAAGCCTTTGACTCCAAAACACCTAAACACCCCGGGGGCAGGCAGAAACCTGTCAGAAAGGAAACCAAAGTTGCCTATGAGACACTGGGATCCAAACCCTACTGATAGAAGGTGACTCCCCACCCCGTTTTCTAAGTAAATAGCTATTTTGAAAAACCATTTGATACTGCTGTACTGACTACAGGTTTGTTAATAGAACTAAACAATTAAAAAGCAGTATTTCAAGTTTCGTTCTGCTTATGAAGAACCAGAGACTGGATAACCTTTGGCTAGTGGCCACACTTAAGACCCAGGTGTCTTCTAGTCTCCAAGTGGGCACATCACATTGTACTAGCTCTTCATTCAGCTTCATGGCTAATGAGTTCCTCACTAGGAATATTTATTTATTTTATAAGGAATTATTTCTTTTTAACCTTGCAAATGTGTGTGTATAGGTACAGTTCTGAGTCACCCAATACGGGTGCAAGAGTAGTAAGCTCTTAACCAGAGACCTCTCTCCTACCCCACCAAAGTCTTTATGAACCACGACAGTCACTTGGCAAAATGGCAAGTGAGGAGGGTGTGTGGAAGCCAGAAGACAACCTTGGGCATCACCTTTGAGACAGGGCTGGCCAGCAAGCTCCAGGGGGCCTTTTGTTCCTTTACTTCCCCAGCACATAACACCACAGCTGGCACTTTCACGTGTGTTCTAGAGAGCAACCCCAAGTCCTCATGCCTGCAAGGCCATAGCTCCAATTCACTGGAGCTATGTTCCCAGTCTTTGTTGCCGTTTTTCCTGAGACAGGGTCTCGCTATGTAGTTCTGGCTGACCTAGAGACCTCAAGCTCAGGGATTTACCCGCTGCCTTTGCCCTGTTGCTTCTTTCTAGGCAGTCACAGGTTTCCACCTAACTGTGGGCTAGAGACTGAGTTCACAAACTCAGGCGGACAGCCCAGCAGAGGGAGATATGGTCACAGGGAGACAGACTGTCCCAGGCACCTACACAAGTCTACATATGGAAAAGCAAAGAAAAAAAACAAGCACAAACTACCCGCGGCTTGAAGACTACAGAGCTATCCTTTGGACTTTCCAGGTATACTGGGTTTTCTTCATGATGTCTTACTGTGCCAAAAGAAAATCCAAACTAAATAGAAATTATCTCAGAAGTCTTATAACCCAGACCTGTCCAAATCTGCCTGTGTAATACAAGCAGATGGTCCATCTCTAACATGAATATGGGTATTTCAGCCAAAACAAACAAAACCAATCAAACAATCCAAACAAAAACAGACTTAAAATGTAGCCAGGCTGGCCTTTCTTATGATCCTTCTACCTCAGCCTCCCTCCTGCTGGGATTACAGGCATGCACCACCACACACTGACAGAAGTTTTTAAAGACATGACAGTTTACTAGGGAGACATATAAAGTATATTAATGAAGATTAAATGTGCTATTGTCGTTAACAAAATTATGAAAATTAAATCTCCAGTTCAAGTAATTCTACATAATACTACAAGCCAAGTACAGAGTGGCAAGTTAAGTGGCAAGTGTGTTTAATGTGTACATGGTACAAGCACATCTGTATATTCAGTACCAAGACTACTTCAACCTTCTAGCTGCTGGATTCCAGAAAATGAGTATTTGTAAGCTGCCCAAATGCTTGGTTTTATAAGACTTCTGAGATGCTATATGGATTCAAAGGAAAGAACACTACAGAGTTGAAAAAAAAAGACATCTCCGAAGCATATTTACCAGAGCCTCCAAGTCCCTTCAATTCGGTGACTTCCCATGTACAAAGAGCGAGCAGTGCATCGGCCCTGCTGTGAGCTGCTGCAAGGTCCATCAGCAGGAGGCCCAACAGAGCGCAGCTCATGACTCCTGTCTAATAACACGCTCCCCTTCCCGCTTTCTCACAAAGACAGCTACGGGACCAGCTTCAGTGTGTCGCCACAATGCCAACATCTAGAAAAGACCCCCAGAACTTGACACACAGTCACAAGTCTAGGTTTTGTGTAAATAAAAAATGAACAGAACCATGCAAATATTAACAAGATTAATACCCTGAAGCAACTATTGCTTAGTTCTCTAATCTACAGGAAACTGCTAAGTCCTGTCCAGCCTTAGAAAGTACTCTGCAGAGGCAATTTTCTCTGGGATGGATCAGCACAGCCATGAAGCCTAACATCACATGCACACTGCTGACAAAGTGACGGTTAGGCTGCTCTTCCATAAGCTGAGCAAGGGTAAATTCATTTAAGAAATTCAGACCACCGGCTGCGGTGGGTGGCACACGCCTATAATCCCAGCACTTGGGGAGGCAGAGGCAGGCAGATTTCTTTAAGTTCAAGACCAGCCTGGTTTACAAAGCAAATCCAGGACAGCCACGGCTACCAGAGAAACCCTGTCTTGGAAGAAACAAAAACCAAAAGAAAGAAACAGACCAAGTTACTGCCTAGTACTATGGCTGTAAATGCCAATACAACACTGTATAGGTTACCTCAGCTTTATCTAGAAATAGTCTTAATTCAAGCTAACAGACAATTTTGGAACTCAAAGAAAAATCAAGGGTCTAGTCTTATCAAATCTGGCTGAGAGCATATATATTGTTGAGTTAATGAAATTGTTTCATCCCATACTGAAGGAATTCAGGACCACCTTGAGCATGGCTGTTAAGACCCATTTAAAAACAGACAAAATTCATGACTCAAACATACTACCAAGCACATTTTCCTTTATACCAAGAGTAGGGCCATCTTTGAGCTACACGAGATGAATGCTGCACATTCCTGCATGTAACACCCTCCACCATACCATGTCGCATGACTGTCTCAACGTTCTACCCCTCGGCTCTCCTTAACAATTCCAGGCTGATAAGCTAGTCACACTCTAAGGACAGTAGCCCTTTCCTTCCTATCAAAGTTCTGTTTTCTGACGTCACTGTTACTTCTCATTTCTACCTGATTCTTTCCCCTCAGCTGTCACACACAGTCTCACTTCTCCTTTCCAAACTCTTGGCAAAGTTTCAGTGGACAGTGGTCAGTTCCAAAGTCCCTAACTGCAGTATATGATCCAAATGATGAAGCTATACAATCAAAGATCCATGCTTTATGACACATTGTTCTCAAATGTCTGGGTGACAGAGTTTGATATACATGATCCTTAAATCCATTTAACAGATTCTGAAACCAACTTGTCCAAAAGATAAATTCTGAAACCAAGGTTGATGATGCAAATGGCTATATTGAAACAAAGAAAAGCTTCATCCAAATATTTACATTTTTAAGAGACATTTAAAAGTAGACTACTTATAAGTGTGCTTGAACAAACCATGTGTGGAATTAAATTCCATTCATTATGGAGTTAGTTTCTGCTAAATACCTACTGTTGCTATAGCAGACGCCTGGCACCTGAGGACTCAAGTTTTCAACGGTTTCCCAGTCTACACTAAAAAGTAATATGTTCTATACTCCTGAGGCTCTAATCTGGGCCCCAGAAACGAAAGAGCTGGTAATAAAGGCTTACTCAGGGATGAGAAAGTGGTAGCTGTAAGTGTGGTTTCTGCAACTGCCCATGTTTTATCGGGTGTTTAGTCAAACTCTATAGGCCATTTAAAGGTTTTAATTACTCACACCTCACTGTAACATGTTACAGTAACTTAGCAAACTGAGATTGTCACAGGTTCTGGAAAATGTTTCTTGAGAATGAGAAAGGTCTCCTCTATTACATTAAGTCAAAAACCACACAGTTCCGCAGGCCTCAAAGAACCTTTTCAAAGTAAACTGATTATACAGCTCAATTAAAAACCCACACAAATTATATTACAGGCAATAAAGATTTACAGTTCAGCGATGCAGATACAGGCGATTTGACACTTCAGCCCCTTCTGGATGGATGAGTGATTAACAATTACAGAAGACCTTTAATCATTATTGGCTTTGGCTCACATATAGAACAGCTTGGAAGTTTTGTTTCTGTGTGTATTTTGTTCTGTTGTTTTCCTTTAGCTGTCTGTGGAAGGGATTGGACCACAAGAAAACAAGAATGAAAAGAGGCCAGGAATAAGAGAGCCACGGAAATAACTATTTTCTTATAACACATGGGGAGTATGGCTTAAAAGCAGAGCGGAGCCTCTTACCCAGTCACACTCAATACTATTTCATTTCTAGTAAGTCTGACAATAACGCCAAACTCAGTTCACTAGTTCAGGCAAAAGTAACTGAAGGGATTTTTATCAAACCCAACTTAAGTTTGGTCTTGAAATCTTAAGTGCTTGAATTTTGGGAAATCTTCACATTAACAAAAAGTAGGTCAAAAGCTCCAAAAAATCAGGTTAAAAGATAAACCTCATAACTACTTAAAAAATTTCCAAATAAAATTTTTGTATATTAGGATTAACTAAAATGTATGCTTGCCCCTAAAATGTGATGCCATTGGTCTATGACAATTTTTCTTAAGATTATTTCTACTAAGAACAAAATGCTCTGTTTAGACAACAAGCAAGCAAACAAAGGAGGTTACTCCAGAGCTCTCCCAGGTCACACAGAACAACAGACAACACAACAACCTACAGTTTTTTGTTTAAAAACCAAAACCAAGCATAGAATTAGGACTTCTATATTACTGTCAGTAGAATTGTCAGGTTTCACAATTTTGTTGTTAGATATTCCAAAATTCCTTGACTCCACTGTTGGGTTCCTGAAGATGCGCACAGAGTAAAGAGCAGCCAATACCCCACATGCCTCTGCTCACAGCGCCGCCACTCCTGCTGTGCCTTTACAACACAGCTGTGATAGACAGCAAGCAAAAGGCCAGTTTGTGCCATCAGTTTGGATCTGATCGAGTCCAAGAAATAAACAAACTATTTCCTCAAAGCAATTCATGGTAGAACACCTGAAACCACACTTTGGACAAATAGCAATTGCGCTTGAGGACAAAGTTCAGAAAATATCACAAGAGAAGCGGCAACAGCGTTTTGCTGAGCATTCTAAAGGCATGTTTCAGGTAGTTTGACAATGAGTCTCGTAAGACAGCTGCTCACAGACATTCACACCCACACAGTTTAATGGTTTAAAAAAAGCCCAAATTTGTTACTTTGGAAACGAAGCAGTGCTCTTTCAGCAGTTATCGCCGCAGACCGCCCAGTCCACACATAAGCAGCAGCTGCCTTCTAGGGCGGTTCGGCTTCTCTGCACTGACGGCCATGTGGCCGGAAACATTAGGGCAGGGGAAGCACAGACTGAACTGCTGCACAGAGGACATTTACTCATCAGATCCCACCGATCTCTTCTGTGCCCGCTTCCTGGGCAGCCTTCTTGGAGAAGCTTTATCTGAAAGAAAAGAGCAAGTTAGAAGCTAACTAAAGAGGGTTTTGCCTTCTCGGGCATCAGTAAACTGCACGCATGCACGGAAGCACACAAGCACACATACAGAGTAACAACCTAGCTCTTGGTTTTTAAAATATCTTTAAAAATATTCTTCGAGGGTAATAGCAATTAAAATAAAATTTTCGTATTTAATGAAGGAAATGGTTGCTGTGTTGCTGCAGACACCATGCACATTCTATAACATGCTTCTACGGACAAAAGCAAGAATTTTAAAATACTTTAAAAGACCCAGGCATGGTGGTCTACATGCCAGGCCTTGGGAGGTGCATCTATGTAGAAACCAGAAGACAACTTTGGGAGACATCCACTTTGATCTGATCTCACTGGCCTTGACTCATCAGAAAGCTGGGGTGGCCAGCAAACCCCAGAGAGCTACCGTTTCTACTCCCCAAGCCCTGAGTTCCGAGGGCACCCCACCATCCTTGGCCTGCGTCTTGGCGTGTGCAGCACACACTTCACCAACTGAGCTCTCCTCCCAACCCACCTAATGGTGCTTACATAACAAGTTTTCTTTGCATTTACAATTTGTGCTTTTGTATACACTAAAAATATTATTAAGCAAAGATGCTAATTCTTTTCTGTTAAGTTAAAAAAAAAAAGCTGACCTGTAAGTTCATACATTAAAAAAAAAAAAAAAGGTTTAGAGACAACAGACCCATTCCACCTTAAAATGTAAAATAATTATCAGAAAATCTGGTTAGCTGAAGCTCAGAATGCCTCAGTGTCCTACACTGTGTTGTTGAGGGAGCATGCTCTGAAAGCAGGAGCCCCAAGCAAGAAAAGCGAGGCCATGGACACTGTGATCCCCATGTAGACAGAACATCTACACAGAAATAAGTATGCAGAGAAAATTGTTCTAATATACAAGTACAAATTATTTATAGAAAATGGGATTAGTGATTGTTTGCTCTTAACCTCTGAGCCATCTCTCCAGCCCACAAAACAAAATTTTATATTTTTGTACAATTTTATTTTGATATTTTTTTTCTTCCAATTTCCCTCTCTCCCTCCTTGCTCTCTCTCTCTCTTAATGTGTATGGCTGTTTTACCGGCATGGGTGTGTGCGTACGTGTGCACACTGCCAGTGGAGGCCAGAAGGGGTTAGATCTTCTAGAACTGGAGCTGCAAAGGGCTGCAGGCTATCATGCGGGCACTGGAAGTCAGCCTGGTCCTCTGGAAGAGCAGCAGCTCTCGTAACCCAAGTCACCTTCCCGGGCCCACAAGTGCTTTCATAAGAGTCCCTCAGCAAAGGGGCACATTTTCCCTTCATAAACATTTATGTTATTTTTAACAAACTGTTCACTTAAAAACCCACAATTTACTAAGTAATATTTTATGTTCATTCTTTCAAAAGTAGTTTGTAGTTTCCCCCAAAATACAGTTCCATTCATTAAACTTGCTATATTCATGCACTATGCAAGCTTCCCCAAAACTGTAGCGGAGACCACTGAACAAGTTCATCCTCACCTCTTCTACTCTGCACTGAAGCAACAGGAAGGAAAAGACAGGAAACAGATTAGAGAAGTCAGACAGTTACAAAGAAGCTGCATGTTTGAACACACTTCAAATCAAACAAAACAAATCATTAAGCGCTTCACTAATCATACTAGCGTCTACACGAGTAATGGGAAAATCAGTGTCAAATAGCAGCGACTAAACACTTTGGCTGAAACTATTTAATTTCCATTTAGAGAATGACTTTCCACCAAGTTTGTAAGGCTACTTACTGATCTGATTCAAAGTTTCCTGGGGAATCCAGCTCATGTCAACATCATTTTGACTTGATGTACCCATTTCTACTTTCTGTATGGGTCTCTTGCGCTACAATGTAAAAAACATAACATTTACAAGACATGCCACAGCACTGTTTGTTCTAATTTTGTTGTTTTTTTCCAGGCAGGTTTTCTCTGTGTAGCCCTGGGTGTTCTGGAACCTGCTCTGGAGACCAGGCTGGCCTTGAACTCACAGATACACCTGTGCCTCTGCCTCCCAAGTGCACCACTACCGCATGGCTATGTATTCTAATTTTTAAAACACTGATTAATTTGAGCATCTTAGCAGACAAATTCCATTTCTGTTTTAAAACACCCTAACATATATATTATCTGCTTAACTATACACAGTCAGTCTTGGGCCAGCAAGATGTCTTCTTAGTGAGCAAAGATGTCTGCCACCAGGCCTTGCACTTGATCCCAGGGTCCCAAAGGGTAGAAAGAAAGAATCAACTCCAAATTGACCTCCTCACATGCACCAAAGCATACACATGTGAATGTACGTGTACATATGCTATAACAGGAAAATGCCCTAAAAGAACAAATCTTAACTACTTTTAGCCTATAGATACTCACCCTTGTTATGGATCTTAATTTGTTGTTATATCACTGATTTTCTTTCCACTTGGAAATCAAATCATAAAGACTAAATAAATTTCCAGCCTGGTGCAATGGCACACACCTGTGATCCCAGCACTTAGGGAGGCAGAGTCAGGTGGATCTCTGTGAGTTCGAGGCCAGACTGGTCCACAATGTGAGCCCAGGACAGCCAAGGCTACACAAAAATACCCTGTCTCAGAAAAATAAACAAACAAACAAACAAATAAATAAATTTCCAGTCATTGAAATTCAGGATAATTACTGAAATGCTCCAAGCAAGCAATCTTGTATTGTTAGCTAAATATACTTAAAGAGTAGGCACAGACACAACAAAACACGCAAAATCTCAAAACTAAGAGTATGAAAATTTCAAGACACAGTGGTGCATACATACAATCCCAATACACTGCAGGGAGAGGAAGAAGGATGAGGAGTTGAAGGCCTGCCTCAGCAATATAGGGAGTTCGAGGCCAGGCCAGGCTACATGAGATCCTGTCTCAAAAACAAAGGAGAGAAAGAGAGAGGGAGACTTTCTTTGTAGCCTATCTGCTGCAATATGGAAATAAAACTCATTTAATTCCATTTTCTTTAGACTTGCTCTGAAATTTAAAAATCAAAATCTGTGCAAGAAACTGGGCATGGTGGTAGACACCTATAATCTGGGCTCTCAGGAGGCAGAGGCAGGTGAATCTCTGTGAGTTGAGTCCAGCATGATCTACATGGTAAGCTCCTGGCCAGCCAGATCTACATACTAGGATTATCTCAAAATTCTGTGGGAAAGGTTGGCACACGTTTGTAATCCCACCGTCTAGGAGGACACAGGAGGATCATGCAAGGCCAGACTGAGTTACACTGGACTTTAAGGGCAGCCAGAACTACACAGTGAAACCCTATCTCCAAAGCCAAGGGCTTCAGCTATAGCTCCATGTAGAGCGCTTGCCTAGCAAGTGTTATAGTCCATAAATTCTGAATACACAACAAGTATACCCCCTTACTAAGAATTTTCACCCAAATAAATTGGTTTGATTAGATAATATACCCACGTATGAGGAAAACGTACTAAGTGGAACAATGAAATCTTCCTGACCTCAAGGAGTATTACTGCGTTAGGACAGTCAAGGTGACTTCAGAGGGCAAACTCACTTCACTCACTGCACACACCCTCGACAAACTCAACCCACACGTCCAGAGCCTCGTCTTCAGATACTGTTTCAAAAAGGTACAATAAAGTTCCAAGTCCACAAACTACAGCAGGAGCGAGAAGCCCTAAAGAACCACAGTGTAGTTAGCATTATAACTTCTGAATGTGGTTTTCAGAGTTATTCATTCATAATTACCTTTCTGGATTCTAGGAGTTGATGAAGGCCAACAACAACGAGAAGCCCAAGGCCAGCAAGGAACAGATACATAAAAATTCTGGCACAGAAAAATAAAATATAGCTGATGTTAACTCATAAATACCGTTTCTAATTAAAAGCAAAATCCTAACACATACTACAACAGCTTTCCAAATAACTTGTAGGAAGAAGAAATATATCATTTTAATTCCAGGCAATAAGCTTTACAAATCTCCTTTTATTTGGTTAAGAACACTTTGTCAAAAAAAAAAAAAAAAAAAAAAAAATTCTACCGTCTAAAATGTGTTTTATTTGAAAATCACAGCTTAAGACAATTCTAGTAGTTTGGTTTGCCTCACATATCATTTTTCATAACTGGACTTATAATCCCTTCAAGTGATTCACATTTAAGTTCACAGATAATTCTTTACTCAGAAAAAAACATTTTTCAAGAAAAAAAAAAAAACTTTCGAATTTATGTAAGTATCTTAGAGCATGTAAGTTAGATAGGCTAAGGCTCAACTTAAAGCACGGGGCAGGAAAGATTTAACTCCTATCTCTGTAAAAGCACTTTTTCAGTTTCAACCATCTTTCCTGACTTTTATTAAGAAGCACAAGAACCACATAAAGGTTACTCTGTGACAAGCATTTCATCAGCTCTATAGGGGCCACTCATCCTGCCCACTTGAGCTCTGCACTCTGAGCACCCCCTCCAGCTCAGCCTGAGCCCAGATCTACAGGCACAGCTTTACTCACGTTTCGCCATCTAACCCGTCCTCTCTTTCAATAACAGTGACTGTCTGATTGAAGACAGCATCTTGGAATACATTGCCCTGTTTTAAGAAACAGACGATAAAATTCATGTGTGAGATGCGCTGAAAGAATAAACTTACAGCTGGTCTTAAAACTCTTATCCTAATAGACTTAACTTTCCCACCATTAGTCATGACAGACAACAAAGCCATATGCAACTGCACTATTCAATGCCAGATACAGAAATGTTTTTTCTCCTATAAAATAAAAATGCCTATAAGCTTGCCAAGCCCACCCTCTACTGTCTGCTGGGAGCAGGGAGACAGTAGTTTCAGCAGCCAGGACAGTGTGAGAGTCACAGAACACTGGCAGGAAGAAGCAAAACCTACAGAACTCCTCAGCAGCACTAGCGGCCACCTGTAACCTTGCAGACAAGGACTGTAGCAGCTGCAGGAGCAGATCACTTAGGGAGAGGCCTGGACAATGCTCTGAACTCAAACTGAAATGGAAATCAATTCCACTATAAGGAACGGACTAGTGACTTCCAGTACCAAAGTATATTTTTCCATTATCAACTTATTCTGCCACAAAGGAAGCACTTTGAAACTGAACTCAGTTCAATCCTACTTGAAAATAATGAAATGAAAAGACAAAATGAAGAGAAATAAAACTCTGGCTATTTAGATGTCACTCCGAGGACAGAATGAGCTTTTCCTTTACACTAACTATAGAAACCAACCTTAACACAGGGTGAGGGAAGGTCTGAAGGCACTCCTCAAAGGAAACTCTTGGGAAAGGAAATGGTATAAGCACACCTTCATCTGATAGATGGGGTCTACTTGGGATCTACCCCTTGTACTAGTAGATTCCTCTCAGGGATATATGAAATTAACACAAACCTTGCTATTAAAATTGTAGGTTGTATTTTACCTATGGGTATACAAAATATCAAAACAATAACAAAGTCTTTAGAAGCATTTAAATGGGCAAAAGGGCTACAACAAAATGGGACAGAACAAATACCTTATATTCCACAGCATCTCTACTGCACACTTACTTGCTCTTGTCAAGATCCAGTTCAAGTCACTTTCCCACACACATATAGCAGCACCTAGTGACACACAGCTCAGGTATGCACCCCTTACCACTATGCTACTGCTCATTTTTGGCCACCTCTCTCACCACATTATAAACGTAGATTGACAGGCGATTCCTTTTATATTCCTGGTGCCTATTACAGTTTGAATCCCAAATTAAGCACTTAAACAGACAGAAGAGTATTCGACAATGGCCACTGTCCCTGCAGTCTCTAACAAAAACAAAACCCAATTCAAAAGGTCTTACATTCAAATCTTTGTAGTTCAGATTGATGACTAGACCAAAGGGCCGTCCCCCCATGGGCTCTGCAGGAATGAAGGAATACTCAAAAGTCGCTTGTCTCTGCGGTGGCACTATCGTGTTCAGAGGAAGAGCTGTGAAATTCTGGATGTAAAACTGGTAGTCCTGAGGATAACGGAACGAGGCATCTAGCGATTCAACAATAAAATCTTCTGTCCCCTTGTTTGTAAAGCCTACCAGGAACTTCACGATGTTGTTTGCTGGAAAATCTAAGACACAAAATAGGAGGCATGGGGGGTGGGTGGGATCAGAATACATTCAGAGTTCAATATGAAACAGACATGGACTTGGTTTCAGAACTCTCCTCACCAGAGCACCCTAGCATGAATGTACATAAGCTCTGACTAGCCAGAGCTGTCATCTAAATGCAAAAACTTTTGTCTGTTCCCTGGGATCCCAACTTAGGAGGTAAACTGGGTATGCAATTTCAGCCAGATCACATCATGGCAGCAAGCTCATCATGAGAGAGGCTTATCAACTTAGTGTGTTACAACAAAAACAAATGAGGAGGGATCACAAACTCAAATTTCCTTTTCTGCAGTGCTGAGAATAGAACAGGGACCTTGTACACTCCAGGCATTGAAAAACTACCGAGTACATCCCCAACAATCCAATTACTCGTTTTTAGGCATAAGACTAGAATATAGAGAAAAAAAGAACACTTAAGACCAAGAAAATTAAGTTTCTGGTGTTAAGTCCTCTGTAAAAGTGTACCAGAGTCTAATGGGCTGAATTTCACCTAGTACCAAAAAGGGCTATAGAACAGACAGAGCTAGGTTTGACTCTTGCCTCTGCAATCTGCTTTATGTTCTGGGTAACCCCAGAACAAGTTTCTTAATCCCGCTAAACTCAAGATCAACAATAACTATTCCCTCGGGGTTTGCTGGGATTAAATAAGTACTGCAAAGTATTAAGAACAATGCTACCCACAAAGCCCTTAATAAATAAATGTATTCAAGAATCTGAGTAGCCCTAACTGGAAGGTTGGAAATGTTCCAAAGTATAAATCTTTGTAGGCTAACAATACGTTACCAGTGGAAAACCAAGTCTCAAGTGATGAGGTACACATGAAATAAACAAAACTCTATCCTCCAGATAGCTTATTATGTATATCCTAAAACACACACACACACACACACACACACACACACACACACACACACACACA